TTTTGAGGTAGAAATTTTGATTTCATTTTCAGTCAAACATAAAGGTCATTTTTTACCCTCAAAAATGTAGTTTACGAAGACTGACTGGAGGATTCTGTGGTATAAATTTGAAATCAAAATCACCAGTGATTGTTGAGTTAAAGCAGTGCAAAATTAGGCTACAAGAGTTTTGGGACACCCTGTATATTAGGATGTCTCATAATTTTTTACCGTTTTTACTGCAACCGCCGTCTTTTCTTATCTTTCCTTCATCTGGTGTTGCTTGAATAATCATTCGACAGGGCAAAGCAAGCTCTACAAGATGACTATTAAAAGTCTGCCTAAATCATTTCCCACGTGAAGTTTTGAGCTGAGATCTGATAGTAGTTGAAAACGAACTTTTCTGACAAAAATCATATCTCCGCTTCAAAATACCTAAAAATTCCTCATTTATTCTAGCATATGCTTGACACATCGCGTATTCAACTGTACACTTTCCGAATTTTTTCCATGGTTAGAAACAAAGAAAAAATGAATGAGGCAAAATGGCAAACTCCGCCCCCAGACGTCCTGAGGTCCCCCCACGAAGATCATATAGCTCATACATATAGAAGTACGACCATGTATTTGGATTTTTTGTAGGCGATCCAGATCTCGAAAATGTTGATGTTTAGGGTAAAAAATACGGTAAAAAATGTTTAGGGCACGGTAAAAAATTATGAAACAGCCCAATAAACAACGGTACGAACGGTGGCTATCATCTCCATAAATGCAGAAATGTTAAAGGAAACGCAATATTTCCATATTTGAAAACATTCTTAACGACCGTAATACGGAAAGGGAAGGGGCGGTGGAACCAGGACCCGGCACGAGTCGGTTTGTAGGATTTCTGAAAACGGAGTCTCCCCTGATTTTCGGAAGTTTTACGAAGTCCGCATTGACCTATTTGCTTAGGAGGAGATAAAAACAAGAAAGATTTACTAGTCTGAAAGAAAAGACGTAAGAAAAGAGTGAAAATCCAAACTGGAGCTGAATACATGCACAAGACTTTGGCATTAGAGCCCGATATTTAACAAAGCGAAGTAAAATGAAGGCAGAAAACCAAGAAAAGGCAATGATATGAAAATATTTTCATGCTCAGGGATAGCTTTTTGACCTGAGAATCCGTCCATGCTAAAAAAAATCCGAAACGTATGTGAAATGACGAAAATATTTGCTCCAGATGATCTCAGATCGTCTGATGTTCGTCTGGAGACGATCTAATTTCGAAAAAGGTATTACTTCACATAAGTTTTCAAATCTTTTTACATAATACTTTCGCAAATAATATTCTACATACAGTTCAGTTTTGGTGTCATATGATTCAGTGTGCGCTGTAAACAAGCAGTTTGTTTATTTAAGCATTGCTTTTAAATCGCGCGCACTTTTTGCCATGTACGATAGAGCATGTCAATCGTGTGATAACCTGTCCGAAAAGCTTGTGTTCGACTAAATTGCTTATTCTACTTATTCTTGATGCTCGGCACCGACTCGTCAAAAATGATATCCCCTTTGCTCTTTTTTTTTCAAAAACGAAGTCCAGCCTGCTTCCAGATGATCTGTGCCGGCCCTGTGTGGAACCAACAACGGCGGAACAGAGCAGCACGCCACACAAGCCTGTAATATCAGCCCATGAGCCGAACGTCGAGCTGGTAGTGTCACCTCCGTTATTTTTTGCATCATAAATGCAATTTATAAATGTGTTTTATAGTCTACGCAGGCACCTATACTGTTTTTAAGTTACGTTCTTGCACGGAAAAGAACATATGGTTAGACATCTTCTTTTTGATTGGTACCTTCAAGAAATGGAAAATCATCGCGTGGTAGATGTGAGGCACCGAAACTTTCTCAGTTTTCTCTTGTCTATTACTGTTTTTTGCAGGCAGCAGCTTTCATAAATTCCATGTTGGACAAAATAACCATCGAACAAGATGACGAGCAAATTACAAGAATCAGGTAAAAATGCTAGTGCAGACAGTACGATTAAGGTTGATTTGATTCTTTTGCAGTTCATAACATTTGCCTTTGTAGCACATTTAATTTACAAGCTCTTTCACTTTTCATCAACCGACGATCTTATGAAAAAATAAGGATTCGCTACGATGGTGGGCAGGGCGCCAACGTCAGAGCGTAAGTGTACCTTTTCGTTGAATCAGTTGATGAAGAGCATGTTTTATATATGCGCCACTACGGATCAGGTAATTTGTGAACTTGAGGATAATTGTATTTCTTTCTCAAATTATCAAAATTTCAGCCGAGGATGGTACAATGATGGCTGCAGCAATGATCAAGATTACATTTGCGAAACGAGGCTCTGTGATACAGATCATTACTGTAAAGAGCTATTCTAATCTTTGTACATAAACTACCAATGTCATCTCATCTCTGGTTTCTCACAAGCGGGTACGAGCCAGAAGATGGTTTTGGCTCTAATAAAAAATTTCACATTACTTTTTTTGTGAGCGCACACAGTATTTAAACTCACTATCGAAGTGCAATATATTTTTTGCTGAAATCAAACAACCAGTGATCCGTGACTCAGGAAAACCATGAAGAATATCAACAGTAGTATATGCAAATTCCCCAGTTACAGTCATCAATCGAAAAAACCTACATACTTTTTTAACAGATGACTAACGAGAAGAATGTAAAACATATTTAGATTATTATGGAGGGTGTTTAACCGGATGGAATATGTACATTACTTTATAGAGCATGTAAAAATGAAAATTAGATAACTTAAAAGGATGACCAGCTGATCCTAGATCTAATCCTCCTGTGACTAGTTGGTTAAATAAAAAAGGTTCATTCTCAAAAATGAATGGTGCCATTCTTAGAGGAATTGCTTGCCTTTTCTAGAGTATCGGAAATCTTACTTATCACTTTCGCGATTTCATCACTCAATGGTTTCTGTTTCGAGTAAGGGTTAAATATTCCTTAATCACCTGTATTAATAAGATTCTAGAAGTTTGTTCTAATTACCACTAACAAGTAGAAATTCAACGTTTCTCTCAACTAATGGATAAGTGAAACTGAAATCGAAAACAGTTATAGCAGTATGAATAGTTACTTTCGTAACCAACCCCATACCATATAGGTTATTGCGAAATGTATGACATCCGACATACAGCGATTGCTAGTGCACAAATGAGACTCAATGGAGCAACGCTACACTCATGAATCTTTGAAAAGAATTTCTTCAGTTTATACCTCACTTATCTCCTATTTTCAATCTCTTCTCTAGCGCTTGAGTCAAGGAGTGCTTTTTTGACACTTCAAGGCTTCAAGTGCTTGAAAGATATGTAAAAATTTATTAGCTTCGAGAGACTGTGTTTTCAGTCGAAGAGGCCTTTTTAGATGATTTTTGTAGTATTTTGGGAGTTATAAGACGCTGTTTCCAAGTCTGCTTTTCGGTGTCCTCTGTACACCTGTAAGTGCTTAATTGCAATTTTTCTGCAGTAAAAAATCAGCACAAGACTTGAATTTATCGCTCAAGAATAACCAACCTTTACGATTTTATCGGAGCTTGAGAAGAGTAGCCTATGTAGCCTATTTAAACAAGCTGTGGTTTTGTTTGATTTTTTGATCTCCAGAAACGTTCATCACTTGGCTACTAGAGGAGCGCAGGAGATAACGAAGGTATTTGAAATCAGCATTTGAAGCTCTTCAAAACATACGAAATTTATCTAAAAAAGCCATCGTGGTTGAAAACATTATTTTCTTAGTACTTATTAGCCCGTCTTTGCACGACTTTTTATTTGTGGAGAAATCAATGATTTTCTTAGGAATTTGCACTAGTTTTTTAACGTTATATACGCTCGAAATTGGTCTGAAGATACACCTTACATATTGTTCATTTCATGCATAGTTGCCTATAGCCTAGACTAAATGTAATGAATTTCTTATGAATTAAGGTAAGACTTTTAAAGAAACCTAGCAATTTCTATATTTTTCCCCACCATTTAGCAGCTTAATGAGAACAATCTGAGGAGTTATGATTCAAAAAGCACAAGTGCCTCTTGCCTTTCAGTATTTTTTTTTCGAAGGACTCTGTAGCTTTAACACCTGATAGATTTATTGTCCCCGTTAAAAGGAAACTTGGCGTATTAAGACTGAGCCGAATCCGCCAAATTTTCTGCTAGGTGTCTTTCTCGGAAGAGGATTTCCCGAAAAGCAAATAAAAACTCACGAAACTCCCCTTGCTCTCCCGATTACTGGTTTTTGCAAGCTGTGCATAATGCGCCTTTTTGGGTGTTAGTGTTTGGACAAGATAACATCTTCACGGTGACAATCGCGTTGATAAAAGGCTTAGGATGGCAAGAATTCAAGGCTCAGATTGGCGTTAAATCAACTTCAAAAGTAGCTGGTGTCATGGGTAACTTTCAAAAAAACAGTGTGAAAGCCTTTGATAAATTAACCCCTTGGTGATGTTATAAGAATTATTTGATATGTTGTGAAACGATTACGATTGACAAAGGCTCAGGATGGCATGTTAAATCGACTTCGGAATAGGTGGCGCCATCATGTATATTTTTGAAGAAGCCGTGTGAAAGATTAGCCAACCTCAGTCGGAGTATAACGGTTTTGTAAAAATCCGCATCCTTTCAAGGTAAGCTTATCTAGTATGTAAAATTCATAAAGAGAATCATCCAAGCAAGTGACTCCTAAGTTTTCCACTCATCTTTTTTCAACAGCATGCAATAAAAAGCTATTGTCCCTATTAAATGGCCTCTTTATCATATCCTAAAGGAAAGAAGGAATTTCTTTTATGATTTGCACGATAATTCCAGAGAGCTGATTCCGTCTTTCGAGTCAAGTAAGAGCGATCGTTACCTTCCTGCCTTATGTCCCGTATTCGGTTTACTGTATAATTCCGAATAATCGCTGCTTATCTCCGAAAAGTATGAGATCGTTGGTCCTTGCCTATTTAACGCAGCTTCAATAGCTAGTAGTTCTTTTTACCTATGAGGGCCATTTCCAGCATGTTTGTGCTTTTCATAAGTAAGAATTCCAATCTCTTGGTGATAATAATTCCATTTAATATCACTTTATCAGGCCTTTCTGGACTAGCATTCTGCATTGATGTGGGAACAGCAGACAGAGTTTTGGCAAAATCAAACGTGGGAGACCGGAATTCCATTACTATCAAGTCAGTATATTTCAAAATCGAGTTTAACCTTGACGATCAATTGGTGCAACTGTTAGAGCAGTAACTCATATCTTTTCATTCTCAGCTCCGAAAGCGATTCCTGTTCATGCAACCAGTCGACTGAAAGCACTCCCATAGATCAATGTTCCTGCACCGACAAAAATATCTGGATAGATGTGTATTTTCTCATCGACTCATCTCAAGCTATGACTGCTAATGGATTCAATGAGGTGGGTTAATAAATCTACTTGTTATCGCAGAAATATGATTTGTTGCCTCAAAGGAAGGTAGGAACCCCAAACTTTTTGCCTTGGTGACAAGCTTACTTATTGCGTAATGCTTCCATAATTCACTCAATGTGAACGTATCTCTATTACTCTGACTCCTTTTCTTGTAGGAGTGTGCAAAACTACTTTATCGTAGAATTCATGCACTTACTTATGTCACTAGTTGATGTATAATAGATGATTTCTGAAAACTCTTAATAAGTGTATACACAAGACAAAGCCAAAAAATTTGGATTTTCACTTTGCTTAGTGTTTTTCGAAAAAGCAGTTCCTTTCAGCGTGATTCACCTTTGTAATTTTTGACCAAAAAACTGGTGGTGATTCTAGATGTTTCCTTTGCATCTTTGGAGAAGTAATACTTTGCAGAAGTAAGCATTAATTTGCGCGCTATTCCATCAAAAAGTAGATATGTTAGCGGTTATTTACCAGTCAGCCCGAGGCCCCCTCCCCCTCCCAAGAATGGGTCACGAAATTTTTGAAATCTACTTACATCGGTTATAGAAATGCGCAAGTGACGTGCTTATTCTTGTAAATAACTGAAACTATTTTTGAAACTTATAAAAATTCAGATTAGCGTTATAAAAATTTTTGTTTCGAAAGCGTGACTGCCTTCCACGCCCACCTTTTCTAGATTTTAGGGGTACGGACCCGCAAAAATTTTGAGAGCCACCTCAAAAAACTTTCCGGAGCGCGTGACTTACATCATCCACCTTCTTTAAAAAAATTTTTGGTCCCCTTTCCCCCCTCCCGGACGAAAATCTTGCTACCGCCACTGCTAATTACATATGTTGCATATCTGCTGGGACGCATTTCTTAGCTATAAGGAGAAAAGTATTGGATAGAAAAAAGGCACTGCATATTCAAGAATGTCACTAACTTGCATTACCACACTAGACGCCAAATTCAACAATTTTCAAGGCCACCTCCTTTGCCGAATCCGTGCTGTATAAATTGAACATTGGACAAGCGGACGGCCAACGAACTCGTGCAGGGTAAGTTATAATAAAATGAATATCATAGATTTTTATTTATGGAAAATTACAAAAACTTGGTTTGTGGTGGTAGGGTTTGGCAGTGATGATTTTCATTCTACAGTTTCATCTCTTACTCGGCCAACGCATATAAAAACTACGACTTAACCGCATTTCAATCATCCGATGACATGATTGATAATTCTTACTTTACATATGATGGCAACAAAGGGACAAATATTGAGTCGTGAGTTTATTAACAAATTTTGGGGAGCCGAGCTAGTTTTTAGCTAATTAGAATCAAACTAATCCCTAAGATGACGAATATTTTTCAGTGCCATCAAATTAGCTTCAGAAAGCTTCGAAACATCATCGCATCGAAAAAACGTACAGAAAGTTATCGTAATCGTTGCTTCAGCTTACGAGTAAGCTTACTGGTTTGCTGCACAAACGCAAGAAAAATTGGTTATTTAGAAGCGGAAAGTACGATGACCCAACTAAAATCGCCAAATCATTCATTCAAGACGGCGGTTTCATTATCACCGTAGGTAAGCGGAATGGATTAGGCTTTGTTAGGGTAAACTAAGCCTCCTTGATGCACAATGCCTTAGTTTAAAATGTTCGTCCCATTTTTCCGCCTTTTCTTGCAATCTCGAAAGCAGTGACTTGATTACTGTAGTCACAACCCATTATGACAGTGTCTCTTTTTCATATGGCAAATGTATTATTTTCCAGAATATTTGCAAGAGCACCTTAATCCGGTACCTTTGTTGAATACACTTTCCAGTGGACCGGAGTATTCCTTCACAAACCGTTATCGAAATCTTACAACCGAACAAATTCGACAAGCATTCTGCAGAAGTGAGTTTTACTAGAGGTTCAGCAACACGAATAAGCGTCAAAAATATTGAGTAGATAAATACAGTAACGGATGATCAATGAGTCAGTTAACTGCTGTGCATAAAAATACGGCACTACTGTTTTTTGCACTTGGATAATCTCCTTTGTTCAAAGTCCAAGCTCAATTATTGACTACTGACTGCTGTGTTTGCTGGTTGCTCAACCTTAATTCGAAGACTGCCAAGATTACGATGGTGAAGGCACCGAAACGTTAGACTGACTGAGTAAAGCGTGTTAACAATCTTGACTAACGGCTAAAGAATACGTATACAAACTTTCTTTTGGGATTTTGCTTCTAAAAACTTCATATTATAACAACTCGTCCATTCAAAACGTGTCATATCGTGTCGACTGTGGATGTACTGTGTTAGTCGACAACAATATTTATCAATAAGAATGTGCAGTTGGTATGTCAATGATGGTAGCCGAACAATCGACTGAAGGATTTGGCAAAAATCTTATCTCAATTAGAGCGGAATACTATAAAAAGACCGCCTTCTAAGTTCAACACCAGAGTCTGCATATTTGCGGACGACAGAAGCACAACATAACTGCATCAACAAGATAGGTTTTCTGATAAATAATATCAACGTACTTGTTCAGTTAACTGCTTTTGTCCCACAAATTATTTGCCCTACATGCAAGATGATGTTGTACCGACTGGTGGCTGCTATATAGCCGTTTCCATACCTGTTATCCAGGTATATTGATTAGAAAATTCCAGCCTTATAACTTGTTTGTTGCATAATATTCAAGACTCTTGCTGCCAAGGACTGTCCACGGTATCACGATGCCTATCTCGTAAAAGTTGAAAGCAGAGCGAAATCACAATTTCTGAGCACAGGTGAGTGATTTTGGTCATAATTTGGCATACATATTAGGTTATTAGGTTCGTATTAGTTCCGTAAGTTCGTGCCGTTTCCATTCAAGTGCAAGATGCGCATGCAGGATTCAGCAGACTCAGACAGCGGATAGGACCCCTCCGGCGGAGAAATGGCAGGGCCGCGGGGTTTCCCCAGCGGGGTGTCTGCCACTCCTGCTCCGGAGCCCTCCCATTTTCTGCTCCGGAGGCCTCCCATTTTCTGCTCCGGAGACCTCCCATTTCTGCTCCTGAGCCCTCCCATTTGCGCTCCGGGGACCTCCCATTTAGTGCTCCGGAGACCTCCCATTTTGTGCTCCGGAGACCTCCCATTTTGTGCTCCGGAGCCCTCCCATTTCTGCTCCGGAGACCTCCCATTTTGTGCTCCGGAGCTCTCCCATTTTGTGCTCCGGAGCTCTCCCATTTTGTGCTCCGGAGCTCTCCCATTTTGTGCTCTGGAGACCTCCCATTTGTGCTCCGGACCCCTCCGATTTTCTGCTCCGCGGCTCTTCCAAATCTGGCGAACTCGCGGCGGGCAAATTTCTCCGGCGCGGCTCTGCCAAATCTGGCGTACCTCTGGAGCAAAAATGGCGTACCTTTGCAGCAGGGCCGGAGAAGGGTCCCACTTGCCTGCCAGTGATGTCACCGCGACCTACAAGAAGGGACCGCCCAATCGCCCCGCTCTCATTGGTCAACTGGGTCCGGCGCGACTCTGGCAGATTCCGACTGTCCGGCGGAGGGGTCCGGTCGATTGTCTGAGGAGGTGACGACATCCAGTGGTTTCACACACTGGATGTCGTTTTTGAGGGAATTGCAAAGGGTAAGTCGTAAAACCAGGGTGTCCCTGGATCTGACTAAGTATTGGCATGCACAGTTCTTGCCCTGAACCCGAAATTTAGGCTCTGACGTCATTTTACCAGCAACAAGTGAGATGACACGTTACAAATTTGAGTAATGCATAACTTGTGTGCGCACGATCCCAACGTGCTAACAAGGAAACGATACTCAATGTCCGTGGCTTTTTGAGACGAGATGTACACTATTACACTTGTTTTCGAACGATGATTCCAAATCTGACTTCCGTTTTTGCTAATCGTTTCTCTGAAAAAAAGTTATAAAGGAATTTCGATCCAAGTTTGGCCGCTTAAGGGAATTATGGTCATTGGAACGGCCTCTACCGCGACCACGTTTTGGTCTAACATAAGTTGGTATAGGTTTAAATCCTTTGCGTTTTTACTTTTGCATTACTTTTGCCTTAATTAAGCTTGTTTGAGAAAGCTTTACTCGAATTATGACCAATAAATACATTTTAGCGCAAACGGTAGTCATTTTTTCCAAAATTCCACATTTTTTCGAGAGTCAGAGCGTTCATTTAACTTGAGGATGTGAAAGAAGGTTAATTGAGGCAACGCAAAACTAAAAAACACAAAAGGACTTGAACCTAGATTCGCATCATCTCATGAGACTAACCGCACTAACCACTAGACCACAGCGCACCTATGATATTGGTGCTCCGACAGATTTACTGGAGAGCCAAACTCCGCGCGATCCATGATAATATCTTTGAAGCGATTAGCAGAAACGGAAGTAGGATTTGGAATAACCGTTCCAAGACGAGTGTAATGGTATACATCTCATTACAAAAGGCCACGGACACCGAGTATCGTTTCCTTGTAAGACATGATCTTCATACACAAAAAAAAAATAAAAAATCAGTATGTTAGGTGAAGCTAACCAGTACTGAGCCAACAATATTTGTATTTCGCGAACAAAAGCAAAACAGAAGTATGAAAAATTATAAAAAAATCAATGAGAGAAGGAGTTGTAAGTACTTTTCTAAACTAGGTTGCTTTCGCGCAAGCTGAGAGCATCATGAGGTTGCGCGGGACCAATCCAAGCCATTTGCTACCCACCCCCCTTGCCTCACATGATTTTCCAATTTTTTTACAGGGATCGCTTCTTTAGTTCAAGTTCTACCCACAAGCACTCATGTTGACCCAAGTTTTGTCCCTTCTGCTTTGCTATCGCCCTTAATGTTATGAAAAAATTCTTTTTATCGCCTTCGGATGTTTTATCTCCAACTTTCTTAGTTTCCTTTTCACCTTTTTGCACTCATTGTCGCTTGCATAATGTGAGCCGTATTTCTACAAGAGCAGAAGGTTAGTCTCAATTTCGGCATTGTCAAAGGGAGCTTCGTTTCAAAGATTTTCAGGTGCCAGCTCCTGCTGGGCCCTGTGCGAATATCATTTAGAAGAGCTGATCATGCTTTTTGTGACGAACTTATTAATTCAAGTGTTAATCTGATCTATTAGGTTGTCCGGAAATTATTGCCCGTTTTGAATTTCAACCGCAATAAGTCATGCACCTCTCATTTCCAAATAGGTTGCAAAGTACCTTTTGATAGAGCAAAGCAAGCTCTACAAGACGGCTTTCTTGCTTTTGCAACAGCTCTCACCCACCTCGAGTTTCGAGCCAAAAACTAAAAAGACTCATCAGCCCGAAAAATCGAAAAAAATCGTAACTCAGTTCATAAAAATCCTACAAAAATTCTTACTTGCTCACGTAAACACTATTCACATAAAACATCTATATACGCCTTTGCCGCATTTTTTCTCTGTTAGAAATCAAGAAAACGGAAATTTTCGTGCATTTGCCAAAGTGATGCTGTGCCATCCCCACATAGGTAGTCGTACACCACAAGCCTGTAGAAGTACAGATTTAGATTTTCAGCTCTCTACAAGCTTTAGTTCTCAAGAAATACCGAATATAGCTTTCTTTAGTTAGGTGGTTCAAACTAAAATTCAAAATTCTTGAGAACTAAAGCTTATAGAAAGCTGAGAATCTACGTTTGTACTTTTACAAGTTTGTAGTATACAACTATCTATGTGGAGACGGCACAACACGACTTTGACGAATGCACAAAAATTTCCGTTTTCTTGTTTTCTAACGGAGGGAAAAATATGGCCAAGGCTTCTATGGATTTTTTACATGGATAGCGTTTACGTGAGCAAGTAAGAATTTTTGTAGGATTTTTGTGAACTGAGTTACAATTTTTTTCGATTTTTCGGGCCGCTGAATCTTTAGTTTTGGCTCAAAACTCGAGGTGGATGAGAGCTGTTGCAAAAGCAGGATGGCCTTTTTGTAGAGCTTGCTTTACTCTACCAAATGGTACTCTGCATCCTGTTTAGAATTGAGAGATGTATCACTTATTGCGGTTGAAATTCAAAACGGGCATTAATTTCCGAACAACCTAATAATTCAAACCAGTCTCCAAAAGTGAACTTTCAAGAGGCCAAAATAAGTATTCTCGACACCTGTAGATTTTTCCTTGCAAAGAACTTGTTTATGTAAATTGTTCTGCCAATTATTGAACAAGACATTCGCACCTCAATATGAGACACAAAGTAATCGGATCGCTTCGACCAGGGGTTGAACACTGTGTCCATTAAGCAAGACTTTTCTTGGAACAAGAAAATGGTCCAGCATTGAAAATTGCTGGACGGCAACAAAACACTTGATCATACTGTACGTAATCCGATTACACCTTTCAAATCCCTACTGCAAAAAGGACCAAAAGATAAGTCCGGCAAGTTTTCCTGCATGACAAAATATGGCTCCGTACGGCAAACGTCTTCATAACTGTCCCGCAAAATTTGACTAAAAGGTACGGCTTTCTTTATTACCTAACGCACTTCTCAATCTTCGCTCTACCAGATTATCATTTGTTCAAATCTTCTGTAAACCATATGAACGATGCTCGTTCGGATGAAGGCGATCTTAAGCGCTGTTCAGACGCTTTTTGGGATTAGACTCATCGAGTTTTGAAAAGGGGATCAAAATTTATGAAATTGTAGCAGGAATTTGTGCGCGTCAATTGAACATACATCACCACCCAAATTCTAATATGATCATTTCAATGCGGTACGGACTTATGAAATGAATTTCTTTCAGGATACTGCCTAATTTTGCTGACCCATAATCCCTAGATTCTACAAAAGTGAACGTGGTTCCGTGTTCCCAAAAAAACTTTTTCAAAAGGCTAATTTAGATTTTTAAACTTTGAAAATTAGATTGTTTATTTACAAGTTTAAACGAGTCAGTGCACCTTTTTATGACCCTTGTAAATAACTTTCGAAAATTTCGCGATCTATTTTCGGGGGAACCGCCTTCCCATCCCCCCTACCCCTCAGTTCGTCACTGGTCAATGGTCCACTATATATCTGCAACTGTGGAAGAATTATCTTACAGTGTTTCCGTCAAAAACTAAATTCTGGATTGGTTTGAAATACCTCGCCGCTACCGGTCTCTATCAATGGTCCGATGGAACATATCTTGTGAGATATACCATCTTCTTCATTCCTAATAACAAAATCATCGACATTTAGTCGTCTTCTGATTTCCAAATGTGGGCTCCAGGTTATCCTAATGCTAACGCCGGCTACTGCGTCTACATGTACCAGTATACCGGATTCAGGTGAGATTTTCAGTAGATGGCAACTTTGGCATTGTTTTCGCATGTTTAGCGTTATAACTTTATGATTATTGAAAGAGGGCGTAACAACAATTAATTTTTTTTCCTAAGTCAGATCCTTAAAAATTTCCAAAAAAAATTATTTTGATCATTTACAATGAAAAGTAAATCACATGCGTAATTCTAACACCCATGTAAACAACTTTCAAAAACTTTGGAAGCACCTTTTATATTCCCTCTTGGGTCCACCACTGTTGTCAGTTACTAGCTATAAAGTAGAAGCAACTATTCAGCTATGGATGGTTCAACGACGAATGCAGTGATGATCAAAACTACATCTGCCAGAGTGTACCGTGCAGTGCCGACAATTATTGTGCCACAAGAGATTAGAAACTTTAGTTTTTTCTTAATAAATGATCAGACGAAACCCTGAGCTCTGAGCAAAAATAATTGATTAAAATCAATCATTCAACCAGAATATATAAAGAACATATAGAAATTATCAGTCGAGTTTCGCGGCACAGGATAAGGAGAAAAAACATAGAGAAGCAGGAAAAATGGTGGTCAATCGACCCAAGGAGATAATCGAGATAAACGACCGCTTAACAGGTAAAAATGAAAAAGTTCATTGTAGTTATGTCCCTACTGATCAATCAAAATCCGGAGAATTGTGGGACAAGAGGATTGAATAAATAGCAACTGGAGGAACATTACTGGTGGAGGACCATCATTTCTGAAAGGCTCGCCAGAAGATAAGGTCGCCGACTACAAGTTATTTCGGATAAACAACGGACAAGATCGCGATACTGTCGACCAATGATTCAATACTCAAAACAAGCTAAGACAAGTGTCATACAAAGAAAGTAGAATGAAGATATTCCTGAGTGCTTGAGGGGTCGTCCATATATTGTGATCAAGAGAGTCACAGCTACAGAATTGCAGTTTTTGAAGATCATGTTGAAGAGAAGGAATGAACTTGAAAGTAATCTTTGATTTCCTTCTTTGTTTAACAAGTACACTGCAAACCCCTGTGAAGCGCTCTACGGTGAAAAAATCATGGTAGCGGAGGAGATTATTATACGAGTCCACCAACGCATATTTTGCACTCCGGCCTGTTGAAATCAATACCTCAGTTAAACATAAAAGATGGGGAAGGCCCTTGAGATGCTATGGACGAATGGGGACAAGCTGCTTGGACGATACGGCAAATCTCCTTACATTATTCTGCAGGACTGGCTATAGGATATCTGGCTCTCTGAGGCCATCATTTGAGAATAACATCACCAAGAACATTCTGGCATGGTAACACAATTGCGCTTGTTTGATAGAAGTTCTTGATAACTAAGTTTACGTGCACAAGTAACTCTGCTTATCCGACGTTGTGTGGAATGTCAACGCTATACTATCCGCCTATTCAAGCATCCGAATCAGAGTGATTTGACACAAGTGAGGTTGCAACAATCAAGCCCCTTCCAACAACTTGGACTGGATTACTTTGATCCTCTAACTGTAAAAGTCCAAACGCAAGCAAATGCCATGGGGTTATCATCACCTGCATGGTCACCCGACTTATTCATTCAAATGTAATGTACGACCTCTCCACTACAGCATTCCTTAACATGTTGCGAAGGTTTTTCGGAAGAAGATGAGTTACAAACCATCACAAATGACAACGCTCCTACGTTCCCTCTAGGAGAGGAGATTTTAGCTGAGTGTATCAAATCTGCAAAACGATGCAAGCATTTTAAGATAAATGAGTAATCGCGAAATCGAATGGGAACACATTACACCCTTCGCACCGTGGCAAGGAGGTTACGAAAGATTGATCAAAAAACCATCAAAACCTCTCTACAAATAAAAGTGAAAAAGTTGATCGACTGCTAATTTCGAAGAAATGTCAACTGCGCTTGTCGAGATCGCTAGACCACATAAGACTCATCATTTCCTACAAAACAAGATCATATTGAATTACCCATTTGACAAGGTCAACTACACGACGAGGATCCACCTTACATTTCATTCAAAGAGCAAGTTGTCCTTCGCACAAAGTCCCAAACAATCCAATCGCTAGAAAATTCTTACAATTCTACAAACAAGTTTTGGATTTTTTATAGGATACAAAATCTTACGGCGCTTCAAGAGAAACACAAGAACAAACACAAACACACACACACGGTTATAACAAATCAATTTCGCACCCGCAGAAGGACGACTACGTTCTAGTCACACCCGTACAGCCACGACATTCCTGGAGGATGGGCGCATTACGGAGCTATCTTATATATAAAGCTGAATGTCTGTTTGTCTGTATGTCTGTCTGTCTGTCTGTCTGTCTGTATGTATGTCTGTGTGTACGTATGTTCCGAATAGAAAATTCCATTTCTGAACCGATCCGGACCAAACTTGGCACACATACACTACGGGCCCCGGCGGGTGTCATAGGCTACTTTTCGTCATCGATCGATATCGATTTTATCGATTTTTATCGATTTTTTTGCTGAGTTCACCTACGGGTCTGGGAGTTGGCACAGGGGGGTAATCGAGCATGGGGATTCCGAATACAATATTGGTTTTCAGGATTATCGATTACTTTTATCGATTTTATCGATTTTTTTGCAAAGTTTGAGCTACGGGGCTGGGAGTTGGCACAGGGGGGTAATCGAGCATGGGGATTCCGAATACAATATTGGTTTTCAGGATTATCGATTACTTTTATCGATTTTATCGATTTTTTTGCAAAGTTTGAGCTACGGGGCTGGGAGTTCGCACAGGGGGGTAATCGAGCATGGGGATTCCGAATACAATATTGGTTTTCAGGATTATCGATTACTTTTATCGATTTTATCGATTTTTTTGCAAAGTTTGAGCTAGGGGGCTGGGAGTTGGCACAGGGGGGTAATCGAGCATGCTGATCATCCCCAAGGGGGGTGATCAGCATGCTCGAACACCCCTGTGCCAAATTCCAGCCCCCTAGCTCAAATTTTCAAAAAATCGATAAAATCGATAAAAGTAATGGACGATCTTGAAAACTAATATTGTATTCGTAATCTGCATGCTCGATTACCCTCTGTGCAAACTCCCAGCCCCGCAGGTCAAACTTTGCAAAAAAATCGATAAAATCGATAAAAGTAATGGACGATCCTGAAAACTAATATTGTATTCGGAATCCCCATGCTCACTTCCCCCCTGTGCCAACTCCTAGCCCTGTAGGTGAACTCTGCCAAAAAATCGATAAAATCAATAAAAGCAATCGATAATTCTGAAAACTAATATTGTATTCGGAATCCCCATGCTCACTTCCCCCCTGTGCCAACTCCTAGCCCTGTAGGTGAACTCTGCAAAAAATCGATAAAAATCGGTAAAATCGACATCGATCGATAACGAAAAGTGGACTGTGACTCCCGCCGGGGCCCGAAGTGTATGTGTGCCAAGTTTGGTCCGGATACGGCGGAGCCGGGTAAGCCAGCTAGTTGAAGAATAAAGACGAACAAGAAAGAGAAGCAGTCGTGATTTTGCCATCTAAAAACGATACGCAGACCAGTAAACCTTTTTGTGCCTTTCGAGCTAAAAGACATAGGACCAAGACAAATAAAAACAGCTTCTCTGTGGATGCGGTGCAGGAGGAACCAAAGGCCTGCCGTCTGTAGCCGCAGGAGATAATTAGGAGGGCGAGCGCTATGGAGAAGATTTTGGCAAGGATCCAGGAAAACTTGGCGAGGACATCCATTAAAAACAAACCCTTATAAATCTCCTTGGAATCAAGTTTCAAGGATACGAAGGACAGATTTGGAATCAGTATTGTAATGCGCTTTTTCAATAATACGCTTGAAAGTTAAACAACTCTGTCTCGCAACGATTTCTACCAAAAACTGTGCCTTCAAAATTCATCATTCTAAGCTGAGGAATTTCAAGTCTAATGTTGTGTGGAGAAGAATCAACTGAATTTTTAGTGAAATTTTTGGATACGAAGTTGAAAGTATAAAGTAGTAATAAGAGAATAATTTTAACTAAGTTGCATGTGATGAACTTTTGCTACTGTGCACGACCTAAAGGATTACCGACATAGTTTCAATGGCAAATCCTATGAAGCCTCTAATGTCAAAATTTAGAATTAGAATGGGTTTAAAGTCATGAGACAAACTGCATATTGCATCTTGACACAAACCTCCAGATGTGTTTTTATGACAATTTGATTGCTTTAGTTCATTGTTCAAAAAGCAAACTATTTCCTCATCTCAAAGAAAAAAGAATGAATGTTGAATGAAAACCCCGAACTTCAACAACTTGAAACTTCAAAATTCAAAACAGAAAGTTTCTATATGGTAGTTGACTTTTGTTACCACAACAATTTCAAATTTTCACTTACTTTTGAGCCCAGTGAATGCGCCTTCCAATTTGTATTACAAATCTATTTTTTAAATTTTTCAAACTCATCTCCAAGCGAAGTTATGAAGATTTCTTCCCAAAGAATGTCCTTGCTGAGTTTTCTTGGATCCCTGCCAAAATATTCTCCACAGCGCTCGCGCTCTTGATTATCTCCCGCGGCTACAGGCGGCAGCCCTTTGGTTCCTCCTGCACCACCCCTCTGAAGAACCGTACAAACGGTACAATATGAGTGCACGAAAAAAAAGTTAGTCACAGCGAAGAAAGCGGTTAGGAGGAGGAAGCATAGGAGTGGCGGGAGTGTCGCCAAAATCACCACAACAAGATCTAGGAGTGTCGACAATGGCGATACTGTAGATTGTACATACTGTGCATTTATTATTTACCAGTGCGTCACCTCTGCTTCGCAGAGGCTCGCACTGGCTCTACTATCTATGTGCCTTACTCATTCTCGTAAAATCGTGGCACTGGAACTCACCGTGCTATGCCGACTACCACGAATGAAATGTAAACAACTACTCATTTAGAAAGCTTTTTCACGTGAGATCGGTGATTTCGCATGGAAAAAACTTTTCGCAGGAAGATAAAGGCAAATTTGAATAGAGTTTTGAATCTGTCATGGTTTGATAGTCGCCATAAAGGCAATAGTCACCGTGAGCTACATCTCTGTGCGAAAATCTTCTCAAATGCTTTTCTAGAACCTTGGCAAATTGACCATTTACGCAAGCAATAATTTTTGGCCCCGTTTTTGTAAAGTAATGGACTTTTGGCCACTTATTTGGGCATAAGCTCATGGCTTGCACATTTACTTGCCATAAACACCCACCACTCTGCAAAAAGTGGAATTACGGACCCAATTTTGTGGGCTAAATGCAAAGTGGACCCGTTTTACGCGCAATTTCCAGGGGATCCACTTATCGGATCAGCTTGTGCTTTTGCACAATGGACTTTCCTGCTGCTAGGATGTGCTATGCAAGATTTGGGCTCAAGAGGTTGACTGGAACTCT